TTCTAAGTATGTCATGCAGGGCAGTGCCACTCCTGCGTCATGAAAGGAGTGAATCTAAGGAAGAGAGCCCAGAGCTGAGGGCCTGAGGGCAAAGGCCTGAAGTCTCACCTGGACATTGGCAGGGCGGGTGGCTTTTCCCCGTGGGCAATGAGGCCTGGAGCCCCAGCCTCCACTGAAGGGAGGCTTTGGAGGTGCTCCAAAACCTGGCTCCATGGACCAAACACAGTTACACCCATCTACCTCTCATGCCTGACCTCGCTTTTTGCACAGCCCCACTCTCAGTCCCTGAGGATTATGCAGAAGAGGCAGCAAGGCCCAGTGGTCATGAATGCGGCCTCTGGGTCAAGCAGGCTGGGATCAAGTCCCAATTCTGCCTTTCACAGGTGTAACTTTGGGCAAACTGCATAGCTGCTCTCTGCCTCAGTTTCTTCACCTGTAAAATGGGGATAAGCCTTCAGAGGGGTGAGATGAGGGTTAAGGGTACAGTACATGTAAAGGCTTTAGCACAGGGTCCGCCTGGCACACATATACTCCCTCTGTGGAGTAAAATTCCATTTAAAATTCAAATAAACCTATAGATACATAAATATGGGCCAGCAGCATACAATACAGCCAGAGAGACAAATCATCCTCTTTTTTTGGCTCTTCTATATTCCTGCTCCAGGGGAATTCCTGCCCCTGGACCTTGGGTTCCAGGCCATTTCCTGTATCTTTATAGTAAACCCTGCCTGATTCACCTGAGCTGGCTTGAGAAGGGCTCTGTTCCATGTAATCAAAAGGGCCCTGCCCAGAACAAGCTTCCTCCTCCCTTTGTCCATCCTGCACTCCAGTCAAACAGGACTTGGCTCTTTCTCAGCCTTGAGCCTTCATTCCACGCTCCTGTCCTCACCAGGAACAGCGCTGTCGACCTCGCCCCTCCATCTCCACAAGTGTCCATCCCTCACTTTTCAGAGCCCTCATTGCTACACTACACCTCTCCAAAACCATCCCCCCGGGGCCACCCAGCCACGGAACCTTCTGGCTCCTCCCGCTGCCGCCTGCTGGTGCCTCCTCACGCAAGGACCAGCTGCTGCCATCATTTAGCAGACCCAGGCCCTGGGCCAACCCCTCGTCCCCTCTGAGCTTAGTTTCCTCCTGTCTAGAAGGGAGACACCATTGCCAGCGCGGCCTCTTGAACAGAATCATTGTGAAGCCCAAACCAGAAAATGTGTGCAGTGACTCTGAAAACTTTAAAGCGCTTTCCAAACATATGAGCACTTTCCCAAGAAACTGGAAGAATGTCAAGTAATTTGAAGATGAACACGTAGGCCCTTCGTTCTATATCACTCTGCTTCTTTACAATCCTCCGGGAACTCTGAAGTATAGGAAATCCCAACGGGGCCCACAGATCCACCAGCCATGGAAGACAGGCTCCGGAAGCACTTGGCAGCCGAACCTTTGTCTCAAATGAACAGAGACGCACCGTCGCTCTCCCACAGCCTCGCAACTCTTTGTCTCTGGAGCAGTCGGTTCTAGGATTTGGAAAACATATTCTCTCCAAGTCTGCCCATAAATCTGCATTTTAAATGTTCTGTGGTCCATCATAAATAATTTACATAAATGGCCGGTTGGATGGAGCACAGCAGGATCCAAGAGGGAAAACAAAAGGCAGTAGCCACATTTAATATGACCAGCCAAGTGTCAGAGAATCATCAGACCATATGGAAAGGAACAGAGTCATCTCTATACAATTCCCTTCACCCTCTGTGCAAAACCGTGATGGAGAGGGGCTGTGAATTATGGCATCTTCAGCTAATTTTACACGACAGATACAAATGATTTTATTTTTCCTAATTGTGGAAAATAATGAAATCTCCTTTCCCTCCTTCTATCCATGTCCTCTATCCAAAGGTTCTGCTAATTTAAAACATTTGGTGGAAAAATCATACTGCGACATTGTTCTTAAGAACAAAAATTCTCATCACTTGCAGTTTCACTCTCATATGCAGAAAAGAATATGAGCTTATCTTGCATGATGGCACAATGACAAAATGAGTTAATTACCATCTCATCGCAAGACGGATCTACTTGTCATAGGAACAGGAGCCATTATTTCACACAAAACAATGACCCAGATAAAAAGTAATGACTGTAAGCTGTAGCTGCCAGTGACACAGCTTCATCTTGGCCTAAGTGAATGGCAATTAACAAGTGTCACCACCATATATATAAATAGGGACCAAGCTATTCATTAAATATTTACTGAATGAACACAAATGGTTTTTAGCATATTTCTTCCCAGGAAGCTCCTGTGATCTACCTGTGTGACGACCGAAAAATGTACACATGCGTAAAATTCTGCCATCAGCTGGAATAGCTGTTGACCCTTTAGAGGGGCATCTGGGTCCCCTCTACTCTTCGCACACAGAGATACTGTTTTCTCCAGAAGTCATGTCTAACAACAGAAAAGAGGAACAGAGGGAAGAGGGCCCGGTCCCAACATTTTGTCTCTCTTCCCCTGGTTGTCATGGCCACTTGCCTAGAAACTAAAGCCACAGACAGCACTGACAGCCAGAAATGCTGGATCCTTCCAGGTCCAACCATAGACAAACAGTGTGGGGACAAATGGTGGGGCAACCTCAACACACCTGGGATCTCCAAGGTGGGGAACTTTCCTTCCAACCTGCTGACTATGACCATGAACCACCTCTCTACGGAGAGGAACAGAGGTGACAGACTCTGGGATGCACATCTGGAGACAAACTCCCAGTCAGAAGTCTCAAGGCTGCCCTAGTGTGCAAGTCTGTCTGGACCCGCTAATTTTTATTTGAAAACCAGGGGTATGGCAGGGGCAGGATGGCACAGTGGGCTTTAACATGTATACTTTTCAAAGTGTGAAAAATAGAATTCTTAAACAAACACAGAACAAGCAGGTGTCAATGACTGACAACTAATTATTGAACAAACCATCAGGTCCTGATGTGTACACACATGCATACACGCGTATCATCAGTACAGGAGAAAACAGTGGGATAAGAGTAAAAGTTAAATACAAAACTGGCTTGTCCTTCAGGACATAAAAACCATAACTCTGAGGTTATCTCCTTGTTGGACAGATGTCCATCTGCCCTTCAGGCGCTATAGATACAGAGCATCTTAGTGCCCACTCATCAGGCTGCTGTCACCTTAAGACCTGATACGGGCACTATGCAATGGGTCAGTCATGCAATATCTGGTTTGGTTAAGACAAAAGCACGAAATCACATGTTTTCAAAAGAGCATATTTGATAGTATGGGCAGAGCCTCACACCCTCATCCTACCCACTTACCCCTCAAATATTCCAAGCATCCGAGTCTTAATTACAAAACCATTTCTAAAACTATATTTTCCCCAGTACTCAGATCACGGGGTAAATTCCACCTCTAGAATGTCCCTACCCAAGTTTATTACAACATTTTATTTGCAACAATCCAGAGAAAATGGCCCTCTTTATATAGACATGAATGTGAGTTATAAACACCTGTGTTCTCAGGCTTTTCCATGTGTGAACAAAACTACTTTTTCCTGTTTCTTAAGTAATGATCTGAATCCTACAGCAGAGAGAGAGTCTCCACCATCCTGGTAAAATTACCAGAAATTCTGACCCCAGAGGCCATCTGATTTCTAGGCTTTAGGTCTTAGCCCCCAGCATCCCTGAGTGGTTACCCCCAGGCCTTGAAGAGCCTGGACACTCAACAAATGTTGAAGGGAGGGAGGAGACAGGAAGGGAACAAAAAAAGAGTCATTGGGTGTTTCAAGCAACAATCTAATTATTTCATTCTTCTGCAAAACTCTTCTCAACAGCCTCCCATTGCTTTTACAGCTGAGTCCTGGCCCCTTCTCCCACCCCGCACACTCCTTTTCTTCCCAGAAGCTCATCTGATTTTCTTTTGATTCTCCTGCTCCCTCCTGCCTCAGGCCCTCACACATGCTGCTCCCTGCTTCTGGAGGGCACCCCAACCTGCCCCAGGCAGCCCCATCACCAGATAATTCCCCCTCATCCTTTCTGTCTCAGGTGAGGCACCTCCCTGATGGCCAGATCACGTGGAGTCCACTTGCCCCTCAGCCCTACTGCTTTCCTCTTGGTAATGCTCATCACACTCGTTCAGGGTCTGTCTTCTGGTTGTGAGGACATGAGAGCAGGGACCACGCCTATTCTGTTCTCTGTATCCAAGCAGCTAGTACTATTTCTGGCCCAAAGCTCATAGCTCAAAATTGACAATATTTATTAATGAATTCACTAATCACTAATTGACTGACTAGATCTCAAGCAAATCATAAGCACCTCTACAGGACGGGGAATTGTCAATTATTTTGGAAGACTGGGTAGGGGAGAACAAGACAAGAATTAAGCAATGAATTTGGCCACAGTTTGGGCAAGACATTCCTTCTACAGTAAATGTCATCATATTGAAACCCAAGTGGACCCTGCAATTAGGCAGGAAACCTCATACAGCATGAAGAGAAGTTCAAAACCAGACACATTTCTGGGCAGAAAATGAATCTCCTGCAACTAGGCAATTTTTCCCTGGTACAATCGCATGCCAGTGGCCACAGCACTCTGGCCTGCTCCCACACTAGGCAAGGAAGGGGGCTCATGGCAACCAAGACCCACAGGATGAGTGGAAGGTGGGATCTGGGGGGCTCATGCCAGATTGTGGGGTTGAGAGGAGTCTCGGCAGTGGGCCCGCAGGCCTGTCAGCTGTTAATGCCACTCCAGCCCTAAAAGACAGGATTCGGGGTCCCACCAGCCTGGGAGAGAGGGGGAAGCCACTTTATTTCAGAGTCAACTCCAGCCTGAGCGATGTGTGGGAGGGGGCTGCCCCACCGTGGGGCTGCCCAAAGGTCCAGGTCAGAGGACACGCTGGCTCCTGCCCGGCCTGTGGGATGTGGCTGACCTGCCCTAAACCAGCCCCTCGCCTGCTCACTCAGGGGAATGCTCTGCGAGTCTGTTCAATCGTGTGCTGACTGCACAGCTCACCTTCTTAACAAACTCTGGGATGATTTTTTGGTCTGTCAGGTGGTCCAAAGAGGAACAGCAATCTAATTCCAAGATGTAGCCTTCATTGTGAAGATCAGTTTTCTGAGACCTAAAGAGAGAGGAAGGAACACACACAAAGATTAAGATTTTGCACAATACAAAAAAAAAAAGAATCATTAGGCATTTAACTAAACCCCAAATTCTTTCCTGAAAGTAAATGTCAAAAAGCACTGCTGAAAAATAATTTATGGTAAACAACTCAAATAATATAGAGAGATCTACATCATGGAAAGACCTCCAAGACATACCATCAAGAAAAACACATCATTACAGAATGACAGGTTTAGTACAATGTGGTTTATATATGAAACAACACACACGCACACAGCCCCACATCCTTCAGTAATGTATATTTCCCAGTGGTTTCTACCTTCCAGGGCTTAGAAAAAGAACTAGTAAGACGCACACCAAACCAATCATAGCAGTTACCTCTGGGGATGGAGAGGATCTGTGTGGGACCCGGGACTGGGAGTAGAGGTGGTGATCACTTTTTCTGAAGAGAACTTATTCATATATCACTTAGAAAATTAATAATTAATTTTTAAATGACTTTTAAAGAGTTCAACTCTACAGAGGGCAATCTGGCAAAATCGATCAAAATTAAAGATGCATTAAAAAAAGGATGTAAGGCAACTGAAGTAGAAGTTCTGGGGAAGGAGTGGATGTGAAGGGTTGTCTGAGGTAAACACCTTCAGTCCTCCGGGCAGTGTGGAGGTGTCCAGCACGCCCCTGCCATCTCCCCACACAGTGGGTGGGGCTGCTTTCCCCTTTCCCACCATATGGACATGCACGTGATGCAACACTGCGTGCATTCAGGAGAACCAGAGGCAAGTGGTCGCCAGAAGGACATGCCACCACTTCATGCTGTTCCTTTGAGGGGCTCCTGTGTGACACTAACGTGGGTCTGAGGAACTCCTGGATACCATGTGGCTGTCCGAAACTGAAGGTGATTCCTTGGTCCAGGCAGGCATAAGGCAACAGGAAGTGAGACTACAGCTACGGGCCTACAGAACATGCTCTCTCTTCATGGGGAGCAGGACTTAGAGACCAGGGCCCCGGGCTCTGTCTAGGGCTCACACCTCATGCACAGCCACTGGCTGAGGGGGTGAGCAGGGCCCTCCCAGCCCACTGATGGGGAGCTCTACCAAAGAGGGACCCTGCCAGCCCCTGGGAGAGTAGGTGTGGCCAGAAAATTCTTAAAGTGGGCACTTTCACACTGAACTGAGACATATATATCCCACCAAAAAAAAAAACAGTTTCCAAATGCATTTTTGCTATAATACCTTTTAAATGAATTTCTAAGATTCTTATATACCATTAAAAGCAATTTAGGGGCCGGCCCGGTGGCGCAAGCGGTTAAGTGCGCGTGCTCCGCTTCGGCGGCCCGGGGTTCGCAGGTTTGGATCCCGGGCGCACACCAATGCACCGCTTCTTAAGCCATGCTGTGGTGGCGTCCCATATAAAGTAAAGGAAGATGGGCATGGATGTTAGCTCAGGGCCAATCTTCCTCAAGAAAAAAGGGGAGGATTGGCATCAGATGTTAGCTCAGGGCTAGTCCTCCACACACACACACACACACACACACACACACACACACACACACAAAAGGCAATTTATACTACCATTAACCATCTGGGTATGATTCATATGAAATTCCAAAGTGAAAAAATTAAAGAGGATTTGGTTTTCCCCAGGTGTGCACCTACAATTCAGTAAGCAAACGTCAACAGCATATTTTAATTTTATTTTTCCTTCTAACATTTCCCTTCCTTTACATTTTGAAATGTAAAAGAATAAACTAATTCCAAACTGGTCAAACTGGAATAAATTAATTCCAAAGGAATAAATCAATTCTGCACCCCAGCCCTCTTGCCTTAAAACTTCATCACAGACTAGACTCATGGTCTCATTTTTTCCCCACGTTCTCATCCTCCCCCCATAAACAAAAGACATATTAAGAAGAACTAAAGCAGAAGATTCCAGACTTTTAAAAGAGAAGACTTGGTCATGACATACTGTTATATGTATTGTGTGGGATCTAAATAACATAGACAGGCATGGGAGGAGGAGAGTTCCAAGATGTGAAACCCCAGCTGCTCTGCCACATGGAGACTAATGTCAGACTGTATGAGGCTATTTATAAATACCCATTGAGATTTTAAATGATTAGTTTGAAAAATAGTAATCATTTTAAATAAGTCAACACTGTACCCACTTGATAAACACCCACAAAATGAATGGAGGGAAGGAGAGTCTGTCTTTAAGCAACGCACAGCCCAGATTCATAAGGGATAATCTTTAATACAGGATCTAATAACTGCCATCTTTAATTCCGGAACAAGAAGTTCTATAAGAAGAAAGGCAGCTTTGGTTCATTTCATCAGATAATTAACTTAGTTACATCTGAACTGAAAGGAGCACAAAAAATCAACAAAAGGAGGTATTATTATAAATTTTCTAGATGAAACATGCAAAATCACATCTCAGCCCATGGTCTCTTGGAAAAGCAAATTCAGATCATATTGGGGGAGCAGCTGAGCAACTAATAGGTCTTCCCTTGCCTTTAGGAATTACCTCTACAATCTGAAATGAAGAATGGCTGAAGGGGAGAAGAGGTGGCAAAGACCCCTGAATCCTCTGAGCATAGATGCTGGCTGCCCAAGCCTTGAAGTCAGCACTCTGTGAGGGTGCTGGGCCAGAGCTGGGAGGAGGGCACAGTCACACAGGAACCCTCCCCCTGACACTGACCCCATGAAAAACAGCGTCAACTCCACAAGCAAAGGTTGGCTAGAGGGCAGCCAGAGGGAGTTTCTGAGCTCCTCAGCACTGGGGGCTGGGAGTAAATGTGGTTGCCGTGGTGACCACACCCTAAGGTGACTCGCCTTGATCTCCACCTCCTGGCGTCCATGCCTTTGCACAATCCCTCCCCTCTAGTGGGGGCAGGACCTGTGACTTGCTTCTAGTCAACAGAACATGGCAAAGGAGATGGGGTGTCACTCCCGTGATTATGTTACACTGGAAGACTCCATCTTAGCAGACTGGAGCCAGAGACCCCCCTTGTTGGCTTTGAAGAAGTAAGCTGCCATGTTGTGAGAGGACCATGTGGCCAGGAACTGCGGGCAGCCTCTGGCCAACAGTCAGCAAAAACCAGGAATCTCAGTCCTATATAACCGCAAGGAGATGAATTCTGCTGACAACCTAAGGGAGCATGGAAGCAGATCTTTCCTCTGATGGAAGCAGATCGAGCCTCTGAGGAGACCACAGGCCCAGCCACCACCTATAACACAGCCTGATGAGACCTGAAGCAGAGAACTCAAGTGAGCAACAAAAACTGTGAGATAATAAATGTTATGTTGTTTTGAGTCACTAAGGTTGTGGTAATTTATTACAGAGCACAGAAAACTAATACAGTTGCTGAGACATGGCAGCCTTAGGCTCAGAACAGGCCTCCCACTGGTAACCAGGTTGAGGCTCAGGCCCACAAGATCCAGTCAGACACCTGAGAGCAACCTCTGACAGGTGAGGAGTGTTCTGTGTTGCTGAGGGCAAGGACCACCCTGAAAAAGAGAAGCAGGTATCCCATAGAAGTGGCTCCAGGGGCCATGGCCTGGCCGGCCCAGGGATCACAGCATGAGGGGATAGATATTCTGCAGTGATCAAGTGCCTGAGGAAAAAGTATTAAGCTGAAACTCTAGGCCGAGTAGGCATTTGCCCTCCAGTGGGGGAGGGGAGACACCTCTTATGGTTCCCCAAAGGCCACGTCCTTGTGTCATCCTGGAAAAGGGTATGGGAAACCACCAAACTTCCCCTGGACTGAAGCCCAGATGGCTTCCACTTCTTAAAAGGACAGAGAGATCTGGGTTTAAATAATAACAAAAAAGAGGGACACAGAATGCATTTCTGGAGACGTAGGATTAACTACCAGCAATTTCCCTTATTTGGAAATTAACACCGAATACTCTGAGGTTAAATGTAGGCACTCTGAGAAGAGTATTGCTAACAATGAAAGATACTTCCCCATCTCCCTCCATCCCCTACTCCATAATTTCCTCTAGATTTATTAGTCAGAGGCTATAGATTCTAAAGCTAACTAGAGGTGTGTCATTTACAAGCTGTGTGCCTTTGGACAATTTATTTAAACTTTCTGTGCGTCAGTTTCTTTCACTGTCAAATGGGAATATTATGAGTAGCTCTCTCTTAGCATCATTTTAAGGATTAAATAAGACAAAAGCATGTGAAGCCCTTGGCACAGGGTGTGGCATGAGGTTCAAGCTCAACAATATGAGCTGTTGCGGACCTATTACCATCGTCTGTAACTGCCTTCTTTACTTTGCCTCCCTAGCACTCTTCACACTTCATAATTATTCACTCAACAAATACTGACCACACTACTACTATGCGCCAGACACTCTTCTTTAGCACACCTCAACAGACAGAAGAGACAAAATCTCTGCCCTCACAGCATTTATAATCCGTTGGAGAGGGACAGGCAATAAACAGTAAACATACATGAGCACATAAGAGAGTATTTTCAACGGTGGTAAGTGGAAAGAGAAAAAGAAACAGAGCAAGGTGAGGAGAAGCAGGAGTGTGCGGGGGGAGCCTCCATTTTAATGAGAGTGGTCAGGGCAGCCTCCTTGATGAGGTGACATTTGGAATAAAGATGGACGGGAGGTGAGGGAGTTGGCCATGCTGATATCCAGGACGAGAGCTTCCAGGCAGAGGAAGAGCCAGTGCAAAGGCCTTAAGCTGAGATCATGCAGAGGCCTTGTGGTTGGAGCTCAGAGAACAAAGACAGAGGAGGAACAGGGGACCAGGTCAGAGAACCAATGGGGAGCTAGATAATGGAGACCTGCTGGCCACAGTGACGACTGTCGCTTTTACTCAGAGTGACAGAGGAAGTCCTTGGAGGGTGTGGAACAGAGAAGTGACACAATCTGATTTATTTTAAAAGAATCCCTCTGGCTGTAGGAGGCAGCTAAGAGACTAACTCGGTATCCAGGAGAGGGATGATGGTAACTCAAAGTGGGTTGGTGGCAGTGCAGCTGT